TTCCCAGTTGAATGCAGGGGAATAAGCTGGCTGCCTGGGCTTGAGGATGACCTCTCAGAGGTTTGAGAAGTTTTGATTTGTATTAGAAGACTTTACAAAACAGATGTAGGTATGGCCTAGCGTTTATCCATTTCTTCTGGCTAGACCACGCTAGCTAGCAGGAGGATTTTTTTGTCTAAATTACTTTAGACTGATGTATTTCATACATTTGTCCTGTCAGTCATTCCTGTGGAAGTGCATTTGGCGATACTCCCAGTATCTTGTCAGATCATTGATCATCAACTCTTTTTAGGATTTAAAGATCAAAAAAAATGTTTCCAGTAGGAGAGATCCTTTCTCTGTCTGGGCTTTTACTATGGTTGGGACAGACTCCCTCAGCACCTATGTGTGGGTTAGTTTGGCCACCCCTCCGATGGTTGTCTGGGGATGCGGAATTTGGATCCCTGTATGCGTTAAGGAGCTGAAGCTTGAGCAGAGCGCAGTACCTCCCTGGTTTTAAGGTAGTAGGGCAGGTGTCCAGCCTTTTGGTAACTTTCCAGTCCCTCTGATCAGGACTTGTTCACCTCCAGACATGTGTTTGCAGCCCCTTCCAGGTGATTTTCATTAGGATTGCACACCATTGTCCAGCTTTTCGTGATATGTGTTTCAAACACCATAGATGATGAGCTGTTTGTCTCAAATTGTCTCAAAGTTTGTCACTGCGTTGGGTGGCTTGGGAAGAATACAGACAACTACATTTAGCTCCGTTTCATGCTATCTGTCTTTAGATCCAAGTTACTCTAGAATAAAATATTTTCTGAAGTTGCACATGTGCTTTTTATATTCTTGGTAAAAGATCTAAGGGGCTAACACCATTCTTTTCCTCCCCACTCCCAGCGATGAACAGGGTGGCTTTCCAGTTGTATTCCTGTTCCTTGGCCTTTCAGTAGTCTTTCCTTTCCCCTTCAGCTAAGGGACATTTTATTACAATGAGATGACATCTTTAGGGTACCATAAAAGAATGAGCATTGGAAACTGGCAGACCAGCAGCGTGTCCTTCTGCTTGTACACTTACCAAATGGTATTTCCAAGTTGGGTGGGCGTTTGGGGAGGCCTGACTTACAGACAGGAGTTAGGTTGACGCTGCCTCTTTGGCAGAGAAATGTTAGTCTGTTATCTTCAGTGCAATCTATTGATAAATCTATTCTAAAGAAGCTGTTCTGTGCTTTACAATGAGAGTATTTTTTGAGGTGGCTTTGTAAATATGGATCCCACCTCCTGCCTGCCTTCTCCCACAGAGGAGGAGCTTCCTCTCGTGTAGTGCTGTGGATCTAGAAGGATCTGACCTCTGGAGCAAGCTACATTTTCTGTCTTTATGGGGTGAGCAATGGTGCAAGGACACACGGGACACTGGCCTCAGCTGACCTGGTGACTGCAAGTTTCCAAACTTCTCTGGATAGGGGCACACAGTTACATTTGGGCATAGAAGCCACACTCTATCTCAAAGAGTACTGGTTTCCAGATGATCATAACTTCATAATTACAGGTGGACCAAATGTTCAGGGGACAAAGACTGTAGGAATTTTTGAGTGAGTTAATTCTTCCGTAGTGTTCCTTGGGTTATTTTTTTCTCCACTTCAGAATTTGGCTATATAAAGTTAGAGTTTTCATGCATGGCAGCTGGAAACTAATGTTAAATAGGTACAGTATTCGTGTGTAGACAAGGCCTTGGACTCTCCTGTGCTACTATTTTCACTTGGTATTCTCTCTTTTCAGTTATTTCTTGTTTTCTTTGAAGAGCTTTCATTCTGTAGTGATGACATTTACCTGGACCGTTCATCAGCTAATAAGAGAGAGATTGAGCTGAGCAGAGGGGAAGGGACGAAGGAGTCTGCAGGCACCTCCACCCCCTTCATCCTACCTGTGTGAGCTGTAGGCCGTGTGGTGTGGTTGTAGTCACCTCACTTTTCCTGGTTTATGGGTAGATCTGGCCCTTTAGAGGCAAGTAGCATTTGCCATTTTACCCTATGAACACAACCCTGCCTGTTCATGTTCCACTGTGTCTGTGGGAGCTTACACCCTTTTTTCCTGCTTTCCTTTAGATGAACTTTGACTTCACCATAAGTCTTACTTTTCCAAATTCTGCAGTATGCAGTGTTCTTGAGCTATTCTTGGAGATCTGATTTCTTTATTGTTTTGCTTTTTAATTCGGTGCAAATGCAACACTTAAGCTAAGAATTAGTAGTAAAGAAGATTTGCCACGTTGCTAGTTTTAAAACTTGTATTCCTATTAATACAAGGGTTTAATTTAGGTAATATGGCTGTATCAGCACTGTGTGTGTTATGAACACTCTGAATCCCAGGGCATTCTTAAAATGCAACCCCGTCCCCCCGTGTGGCTCTCGCAGAGAGTCTGCGTGAGGACAGAGCGCAGGCTGCTGGTGGAGGGACCCAGGGCCTGGGGCAGGCGCGGATGGGCCAGCTGGAGCCTCAGGGCTCGCTCAGGGGCCTTGGCAGTTAATAGAGTTTAAAGGTTCCCTAAGCGCCAGAGGCACCGTGGGTTTCTTTGCTTCCTGTCATCCTCTCCCAAAACTTTCAGGGTTGTTTCTGGACTTGAGAGCCATGAACTTTCTGGGAGGGGTATAGAGGGGCTTTCAAACAGTAGAACTTTCTCTCTTGAAGCCAAAGGAATTTACAAGTCTTGTTCACATAAACTCACTTACTTTAATAGTTTCCTGATGTAGTTCTCAAGCATGAAAATCTCTTCATGCTAATGACCTAAGTCAGTATATGTAGACAATATATGTATGTTCAGAAAAATATCTTAAATTTTGAAGGTGTTCTTAATAGATGTACATAATATTTCTACCATATGTTCCGAGTTACCTCTCCTTGCAACCTCACTGCTTGGTTCCTAAGGCTTTAATTTACAAACTGAGAGGAAGACTATTAAAAAATCAACTAAAACAATATTTATAGAAGAAAGACGTCTATGGCTGTATGTCTTTTTATCTACTGAAACAACGGGTAATGCTTCATCAGCAATTTTATCTGTGAGGGTTTCATTTCATGGGCATGGATTTAGTCCTTGCAAATGCCTGTATGGGCTCACCGAACATAAAATCAAAATTTCAACTTTTGACTTAAGAACTGCAAGTTTGCATCTGTTTCAGTTTCTTAGTGTCAAAGCATAGATGTGTCCTTGACTAGGCGATAATAGCAAACCAGATTACTACATGTATGATGCACTTAATAAAAAATAAAGTTGTGAGATGAGGAGTGATTTTAAACTTCTAACATGTGTCCTAACGAAAAAAGTTCTTGTATAGGGCCTAAAATGGATTGTAGCATTGCGTATTGTTAGAGCATTGTTGCTAGAAACTGTTATCTGTGTGAACTTGCAAGCCATTTTTATAGTAAATACTTCAAATAATATATAATTTAATAGTATGAATAATTTTAAAGCGTTTATGTTTTATTCAACAAAAAACTAGGGACAAAATTAGTGATTTTGGTTTTACTAGGTAGCTTGACTCCAGAATTCTTCTCTTGTGTGAGGCTAATGGCACGGGGGGTCTTCAGGCTCTGAACGATTCCCTATTTGGCCAACCCAGCCTGAGAAGCCAGCACGTCACTGAACGATACTCTGGAAAAGCCAAGCACTTTACTCTTGTCACATGTAGGCACGTACTGTGTCAGTGGAATGGCAGAGTAATTGCTCTAGTGAATACTGATGAGTTCTCTCACAGTGGCAGGTTAATGGTACCATTTTTCCAGCAAGCAGGGAGAAGCTGTGTTTTAGGAAATGTCTTGAAAGCTCTGCTAGGGCGAGCAGCATGGAGGGAAGGGTGGAAGGGGGGGAGACCGCGAATTCTGGAGTTCTTGTCGTAACGCAGGGAATGGGGAGAAGAAAAACCGAGAGCAGCTATACTTCAAATTACACTTAACTTTTGAAGTTGCACGCAGTTCAGACGGCACGCGGTTCTGTCGGTGGCTTCTGCACAAACGCAGGCGCACGCCCATTTCCAAGTTCTGTTAAAGTCATTGCTCATGTACTAGTTCTTAGATCAGATGCAGAGAAAATGGGTTTCTTAAGAGAAGAATCTTTTCCAGTTTTCTTCAGTACTTTTCACATGGGGGATTCCTGTTTTCGTCCCCATCATTCCAGGAGGTGGCACTGTCTCTCCTGGGAAGGACACTGATGCCGCAGCTTTCCCGCTGGGCAGCTGCTGCTCAGTGCCTGGGGTGAGCAGGGTTAAGTGATACTGTGCAGCGTAACCCAGTTCAAGAGCTTTCTGAAAATGGCTGTACTCTTCCATTAGTCTATACCATGTCTTTTTTGATACGAGTTATGTCCATATTCTTACGCACAAAATAAATACACAAACTTTTGGTCGAGTAGTGTTATCCTAGAAAAACATCTTGAGCTTCTTGCCAGCTTTTGTTAGCAGAAGGTTTCTGGCATTCAGAGGAATCTTTTTACGGCATGGAAGTTAAAGCCAGGTGATGCTGATCCTAGAATGCTAGTTTACTTCATTTTGAGTCAGAATTGTGTGACTTTTGAACATGGGAAGGAATAACCAGTAGCTATCGTTATTTCTAGGAGGGAATGGAATAATTTCTATAGGATTTGCCAAATCCACTAAAGGGTTTTTTTCTGCAGGCTGATACAAAAAAGGTGTACAGATTCAGGAAATCAAGAACTGTAATGACAACTTCTCTGTGAGAGTACAAGCCAAATCTGTGTTGTATAGAAAGGGAACAGTGTTGCTGCTGTTCCTGAATTCTCTCTGGAGACATGTTATTTCCAATCTGCCTCTCACTGGTTTAAGAGCTCCTAAGTAGAGGGAATATGTTTTCTCTCGTTAGGAGGTTTTCCTAGTCAGCTGTTAGACTAAGTCTGCATTGTCAATGGAGGTTGTTTTACCTCAGGAGACTATGCTGTTATTAAAAGTGTTCACTATTGAAAAGGGTTAATTTAATTGATTTTTTTTTTTTCCCCTCTGGTTGACATCTAGAAAAATGGATGATGATGATGATGATGATGACATTCCCCAGCTTTCATCCCATACGTTGGCTGCCCTCCAGGAGTTCTATTTGGAACAGCAGGAGAGAGAGGGCATGAAGACCTCCCAAGGGTTTAATCAATATTCCATTGGCTCAATAGAAGAAGACTGGGTAAGAAACTATAAACTTCAGTTAATGAAGCACAGTTAGAGGAGTAGCCTTTACCAAGTTTCTTTTGTGGATGGATAATGAAATGAAATTAAGAAGGGGAACGCTCAAGATGTTCCTAGAGTAGCAAAATCAAACTATTCATGGACAGTAACACTGCAGAGATATTTGCTTCAATATTAAATCTGGGTATAGTTGTCTGTTCTACATGTGCGTGGGGGGTACAAACTGAAATTACACGGAGAGGGAATCAAGCTGCCAACAGAAGCATCTATCCCTCCTGGAAATTTTAACTCCAGCCTGGCATGTGAAGGTGGTAAAGATTCTTTCCTGAGTTTGAGACAAACACAGTGTAACAAGATGAAGCGATCTTTCCTTTCACATCATATTTCTTTCAGTATTTTATTTCTTTGGTTTTGTGGATGGGTGCTTTGCTGCTTTTTTTTCTTCTGACAGACTGATTTTTGATTTGTCTCTGGGTTGGTTTTTTTTTTTCACTCCTTCTTTTTCTGATCTCTTCTGTTTTAGTACTTTTATCCTTTATTTCCTTCTATACTGTCACTTTTCAAGTTCCTTTTTCCTTTTCCACTGAAGTAACTCAATTTAAGCGCACATAAATATTGTGCATCTGCACATTGGATTTGAACTAACCTTGTCAGTGATTTTGCATTACTTGGTTTTCCTGATACTGCAGTAAATGCTTTGGAAATACACAGTGTAAGCTACCTGCTGCGTGTCGCTGGATAACAGAAGTAAAAAGACTGACAGGAGAATAGTCACATTTCCAGCTTTACAGTTTGTGAACCGAGAAGTTGCTATGGATTTTGGTTTTCTTGAAATATGACTCACCACACCTAACAGTACATAGCACAGCCAGAAGATTTGATGTTGTTTATAATTGTGCGTTATCTTTCTCAGCAACTGAGCCAGTTTTGGTACAGCAATGAAACTGCATCATGCCTGGCTAATGAAGCAGTTGTGGCAGCTGGAAAAGGCGGCAGGTAGGTTTTAATAATTACGTTATAGATTTAACATGTCTTTTCTGTAAGTATTTCGGTTCTACTATGTAGACAGAGCATGCAGTTTAATTCATTACTCATTGTACTTCATCTTTGTTCAATTGAGATATTGCAGAAACGCTTTGCTGTTATTTATTTAATTAGTAGTTCATACTGATCTTACCATTTAGCTTTTCACTGAATGTTGTAGGCTCTGCCTTGTAAAAGTTTACTATGAATGTTTTTGTTTTTTGAGAAATACAAAGAGCTCCAGAGCATATTAATGACTTGTAATTCTTTTCTCTGTTTTCATATAATGTTTCTATAGAACAGATGGAAAAACTTGGTTTTCTTCCTATTTCTGTAAGGAGTCATTTTTAACTTTAAGTTTTCAAGTATATTTCCTTGCTGTTCTGAAACAAGATTTTCTCTGTAGCTAAGCTTAAGGTCTTTGTGCAGCATGGAGGTTGAATAGGTAATGGCTTTAATATTTAAAACTCTGTTATTAAAGTAATTATTTGTTAGAATGGAGGAAGAATAGCTTACATTTTTGTGACTGATGTTTAAAATGTTTTCCCAATGTTTCCCAAATGTTTTCCAAAGGGGTTTTTTTGTTGTTGTTTGCCTTTTAAATTAATACTCTTAAGTTACTGTCTCTTTTTCAGGATAGCATGTGTTAGTGCACCAAGTGTGTACCAGAAACTGAAAGAACAGGATGGTAAAGATTTTTCAGTGTGTATACTGGAGTACGACAGAAGGTTTTCCGTATATGGAGAAGAATTTGTCTTCTATGATTACAATCACCCGTTGAACTTACCTGAAAATCTCCTGCCACACAGTTTTGACATCGTAATAGCAGATCCACCCTATCTGTCTGAGGAATGTCTTCAAAAAACGGCAAAGACCATCAAATACTTAACAAAAGGAAAGATTCTGCTTTGCACAGGTATAATTAATAAAAATATTAGGTCACCATTAAGCATCTTTTTCTTTCTCAAAGACAGACTTACTTAAGTGAGAAAAATACTAACTCAATAATAGTAATTTATCATTAATTCAAGGAGGAATATGTATCCTAAGCTTTTTATTGGAATACTTTAGTTCAACCTTTATTTTAAACTGAAGGCATGTGTTTTTTAATAGCTGAAGTCAGTACTTTTTTCACATGGCATTACGAGTTTTACTAAATTTTTGAAGAATTATAAGATCATCCTGCAAAGTTCCAGAAGTATTTTTTTCTTGTAAAAGGGCCACTCTCTATAATTGCAATGATTGAAGTCTGGGTATGACAAACATAGGTGCAACTTATTGTTAGTGTCTTACTCAATAACCTTATGAATTTGTGATTTTTTAAACATGTCAGTAGCTGCAGGATTTCAGCTTCCAGATACTACTTAGCATCTAAGGTGATCTAAATAGAAAGAATGACAAATAGATCGGAATGGCGTTTGCTGAGTAAAGGGGGATGATTTTAGCCAAGTCTTGAAAAGAAGAACAAAGTCAACTTTTTTTTTTTTTTTCATTTTACCTGTCTTTACTGGTAAACATAGGAATTGTAATGTGAATGAATGTACGAGGGGATTCTGCCACTGTGATTCAAGTAAAGAGATCTAGGCACTGAAATACAGCAGGAGGAATTAAAAACCAAGTGATAAGAGCAGTGAAACTGGTTACCCAGAGGGTAGTGGTCAACGGCTCAATGTCCAGATGGAGATCTGTGATGAGTGGTGTCCCGCAGGGGTCCATATTGGGACCGGTACTGTTTATCAGTGACATAGACAGTGGGATCGAGTGCGCCCTCACCAAGTTTGCGGTCGACACACCTGAGGGACAGGATGCCATCCAGAGGGACCCGGACAACCTCGAGAAGTGGGCCCATGTGAACCTCATGAGGTTCAACAGGGGCAAGTGCAAGGTCCTGCACCTGGGTCGGGGCAACCCCTGGTATCAATACAGGCTGGGGGATGAAGGGATTGAGAGCAGCCCTGCTGAGAAAGACTTGGTACTGATGGACGACGATGTGTGCTGCCAGCCCAGAAGGCCAATCGTATCCTGGGCTGCATCAGAAGAAGAGTGGCCAGCAGGTTGAGGGAGGTGGTTCTGTCCCTCTACTCTGCTCTGGTGAGACCCCACCTGGAGTCCTGCGTCCAGCTCTGGAGCCCTCAGCACAGGAAGGACATGGACCTGTTGGGGCGGGTCCAGAGGAGGGCCACAAAAATGACCAGAGGGCTGGAACGCCACTCCTATGAGGAAAGGCTGAGAGGGTTGGGGTTGTTCAGCCTGGAGAAGAGAAGGCTCCAGGCAGACCTTATTGCGGCCTTGCAGTGCTTAAAGTGGGTTTATAAGAAAGATGGGGACAAACTTTTTAGCGGGGCCTGTTGCGACAGGACAGGGATGAAAGGTTTTAAACTAAAAGAGGGTAGATTTAGATTAGATAAAAGGAAGGAATTTTTTAGGATGAGGGTGGTGAAACACTGGCACAGGTTGCCCAGAGAGGTGGTAGATGCCCCATCCCTGGAAACATTCAAGGTCAGGTTGGACGGGGCTCTGAGCAACCTGATCTAGTTGAAGATGTCCCTGCCCATTGCAGGGGAGTTGGACTAGATGACCTTTAGAGGTCCCTTCCAATCCAAACTATTCTATGATTCTATGGTTCTATGAACTTACCAACTGTACTTGCAGGTCCTGCTTTATGAAGATGCACTTGTTGGTTTAAGAAGCTGTGAGTATCTGCCGTAGTCATGGTGTTTCTTAAACTGTAATCTTATTACAAGACATCTGAAGACATCCAGGAAACTTTTACAAAAAAACCAAAGGACAAAACCCCTCTATCATACAATTTGAGGGAAGTCAACCAAGCAGGCAAAATAAAGAAAAATTAAAATAATATATGGCCATAGAAAGCCTACTTCTTTGTTTAATTGCACATAGCAGTCATGCACAAGGATGGTTCTCAGAATTTTTTTCCCTAAAATGGGTAGGTGATCCCTCACTTTACAAAGTTTGAGAAGTACTGCTCAAGGAAGTGATTGCTCAGTGTGTAGCTGTAAATATCGCACTGCAGTTTATTTAAGTGCAAGAGTATATGTAATCTGTTTGCATTTCCCATGGCTCCCTACCATGTAATTTCTTTGGCATGTAGCAAGAAGATTGAGTGGAAGTTTCTGTTTTCTATAAGAGAGGCACTGATCTTACCCTCTACCTGTTTTTATGAAACTTCTCGGACATTCATTTCCTTGGAGGGTCTTCCAATTCTTTCAGATTTATTTTACATTTCCCAATAGATTCAGTTGTTACAGAGGGCTGACAGTGTAGCGGCTTTAAGCCTTGCTTCCTTGAAAAAAGCAGGCTCTCTACTTATGCATTTGGGAGGAGCTATTAAAAAAGCCCAAACATTCTGTTACTGGTTTTCTCATCGAATACTAATTATTTTTGCTGCAGGTGCAATCATGGAAGAACAGGCAGCAAAGCATCTTGGTGTGAAGATATGCAAGTTTATTCCAAAACACTCACGAAATTTAGCCAATGAATTTCGATGTTACGTGAACTATGCTTCTGGACTGGACTGATTCTCATAAGAAGATCTACAACTTTTTCAGTCAAGCTCCTTTCTGTTTTTTATCAGTGACTCCACGTTTCTCAATGCTGAAATATTCAGCTCCAAGTACTGTTTTCTGGGCTAGCTTTAATCAACACGGTGTGATAGCCTCTCTCTTTTAAACATGTAAGCATTTGCAGTTACTGTGTTTTGTATCTTACCTGTTAGGTAAATGGGGACCAAACAATGCAGGTGCTGGATAATGGGAACTTCTCTGTTAGAGTTTCATTCTAACTGGTAGTTTTCACCATTCAAGGACTCTTCAGTGATCTCTCTGCAGTAATTTTAGCTGGTTGGCTTATAACAACACATAGGTGCTTGCCTCACAGACATCAGAATTGTCACTGCATCAGAACTGGTGACTTGGTAGCTAGTGGATGGTTGAAAAAGCAGGAATAGCAGTCGTCTTTCAGTCTTGAGAGATGCTCCCTTGGTAAAAGGATTGAGGGTGTGTTCTGAACGTGTCATGTGTTTTCAGATTCATTACCCAGCTGGCTGATGTTTTTATAAAGGATAACTAGAAGAGAAAATGGGTCTGCTTCTGGGGGAGGCCTCTCCAGTTGCTTTTAATAATAATCAGAACTACCTACCAGTTGCCAAGTAGGATAAGACCTACTATCCACTGTTGTTGCCAGACTGGCTTTTTAAAAACTTGTGGTTATTATTTCACCTTTTCTCTAAAGCCTGGTCACAAACCCAGACTTTCTTTTTGTAAAAGATAAGATCTATTTTGTCGTCACTTACCACCATATAAACTTGTGTATGTATGTATGCTGCACTAGAGAAAAAGTAATGTAAAAGTTGTTAAACATCTCTTTGCAGAAGTACGGTGCATTTATTTTGCAATGTTTATGTGTTAGTGCAACAGAAAGTCATGAGCTTTTAAAAAACCACGCAACTAGGCTGTTCTATTTACTAGTTAAGCTAACCTCCAGAGGTGGTATAAACCTGATGTCTCCTTGAAAAAAGCATAATAAGGATTTCCCCATTAGAGAAAGCTTTACCCACATTAAGAATCCTATATGTTAGTCAGGCCAAATCACCTAGAATACGAAGTAATTTACTAAATAAAGTTGCAACACATCCTTGCCTTAGTGCTTCAGAGTGTGTTCATGGGTTCTCACTTTGAGTTACTTTTACTGTTGGTTATGAAATACTTCTGTAGTAATGTAACCCATACATGTTACTTCCTTAAATCTTGACTCATAATGGATCTGATTAAATATAGTCCCTGCTTTTTAGTAGATTTCAATATCAAGCTAAAGGTGATTTACAGGTATGTCAAGTTTGTAGTTACAAGAACAGTCCCTTTTTTCCAGTTGCCCAGTTTTATCTTTGCCTCCTGTTCCACAGACAGCAGCAAAGCAGTAGAATAGAAGCGTCTTAGAAATTGTTGAATCTTACAAGGCCACTGAAGTAAAACATAATGTATTGATAAACTCCCACTGCTTCTAATAGACAAATGTTAAATTTTAGATACAGGCTTTGGGGTATATTTCTATCAGTTTCAATCAAAATAGATGATATATTAGAAAAACTTTGCTTTGGGATACTAGAGATTTTTGGTAACTTGGAATTTTTAAAGCCAGTTTTGACTAACCTTTTGACTACACTACTAATGTATTTTTGGGTGAAAGCTGGTTCATGAATTCCAAGGCACTCAACGGTTTTATCAGCTATAATTAATCTATACAAAACATAAGTACTTACCTTTATATGCCATACTTATATATTGGGATTGTGTAAAAGGCTAACAGAAATGCTGCATCTACAAAATGAAGCACCTAAAATGAAATATTAAATTTATTTTGTGGTGGGGATGAACCTAAGGAAGCTTGTGAGACAAGACTTTTAATAAGGTGGAGATAATACTCATGATTCTGTGCATTTCTGCTGTTTAGATGCAGATTTTCCCATCTGGTGGAGTAAAAAAATGAGCAGGGATAACGTAGGTGGAATATAATCCTCTCAGTGCTCAGAGAATTGTGCTTCCTGAGCTGGATACAACACTGGTCTATAAATACCCGTCCAAGCCACTGTTGCTCTCTTTCCCATTTTCCAAGAGATCTGTTCATTTCCTAAGGCTTTTCCCTGCTCACATTTTGTATCTGCTGCTTCCTCCCCCCTCTTCCCCCATACAGTGTTCCTGAGTTTCATGATAGCAGTTTTCTTCCTCTTTCACGCACCTTGGTTTCCCTCAGACGGGTAACAGGTATTGCCAAAACGAGAGAAGTGCAGCGGAGGAAGAGCTCGCAGGGAGAATGGAGACCGGGCTCTTCTGACAGCCTGTGTGAGCCCACGGCTGATACAGTTTTGCCTTCCAAACCAGAAGCCCTCCTTGCTGCTAAGCCCAATAAAGCCAGAATCCCCCCTGAAAATGACTGCCCACAGGTGACATACAGGTGGGTTCAGCTGTTTTCCAGGAGGCTACGCCATTACCTTTATGTGGCCAGTTTCAAAATAAAGCAGACCAGAATGTTAAATGCATAGGTATTGGCACAAATGTATACTTCACAATTCTAAATGTTTCATGTTTATTACCTCAATGTTTTGCACACCAAGCAGATGGAGACAATGAAGTTGTCCTGAAACTTTATTTTTAACTATGTAGAGGCTTCAAGTGGGACACGTATGATTGCCAGAAGGGATGATGTTCTTCCCCCACCACCCACCTGAATTAGAACGTGCTGTTCAAATACAAGCTTCACCTATGTTGCTGCTTTGCTATTAATCCCTTCAGCTGTCCGCTGCATTTGGGTAAATGTGTGCTGTTGGGCTCTCTACATCATAATTAAAAGACAACTTTGCTAACTTCCTCAGACCTTTCTTAAAAAAAATAAAAGTACACCATTCAGTCGTACCAAGAAATTCAGTTCACCAAGAAAATAACTGCTACTTCTCACATGTAGGTCAGACGGCTTTGAAAAGAGGCACTGTGAAGATGCACGATTATGAAAATGAGGGTACACATAAATCTGTGTAGATGCACTCAACAGAGCAGCCCGTTGTCCGCCAGCTTCCCTCTTAAAAGGCTGGTGAGCGCAGGCAGCTGCCCAAGCAGAGCTTGACTAGTAGCATTCACAGCCTTCATCAATGATAGGAGGTAAACTATTTTTGTAGCTGTGCTTCTGACAAGGCTGCAAGTCTCAAAAATTCGTAGTGAATTTGTACTTTGTGCCATCGCAGTAACTTTAAGAAATATTATGTGAAAGCAAAATCTCTTTTTTTTTCTGTAATAGGGTTATGAAAAAAAAACATCGGTGTCAAGTAGTGATTGGCTTTCCCTATTGTGGATGTCTCATGGGTGGACTTGCTATTGGAACAGACTGTGGTGAAGTGTTACCACCATGCTACTTTTCAGTGGCATTTATGACTGCAGAGTCGTATGTGCTACAGCCTCTTGGCTGCAGTAACAGGCACTGTGCAGCAGCAGGGCATATCGATGCCCTGCTGCCGGTATGAATGTGACACTTGGCAGAGGAAACCTGGGGTCTTGTGCACAGGCTGATGGCTGTAGGTGGAAGAGAATATACTGCGGCTGCCTGCACCTGACCCCAGATGACAAATGAAACATTTCTAGAAATGCTGTCGCATGAAATCCAAGGTACTGCTTCCATTAAGATCTAATCTGCACTTCCCATTAGAAGTGGTGTTGCCCTCAGCTCGATGTTGCACAGTTAGCCCGTCTCTGTACCACGCAATTGCCTTCACCCCTCCGCCCATGCCCCTCTGTACCAGAGCAAGCGGGAAATCTCTCCGATGGCTGGTTTTGTCACTCTCCCTTGGTCACCTGCACGGCGCAGCCCCAGTGCCATGCAGTCCGGTGGGAAACAGGGCAGCTGGGTTTGGGTTGCAGAGGCCTGTCGTCAGCCGGTGTCAGAGCTGTGCTGCTGCTCTGGGGCTACTCACGTTCCGCAGCCTCCTTAGATGGGAGTACAGCAAAAACAAATGGCAGCTCATGCCACTACTCAGCAAAACATGTACGATTGACTAGACCTCCCTCGTGTGCCCTAGTCCACGTAGTTATGGCTGTTCCCTAATCCCAGCGAGATTAATGGGTGTTTATACTTTCTGAGCACATCATAGGCTTCTTCCCTCTTCCCCTTGCTGCTTTCATGTTCATGTTCCCCATGCGATTTCATGTTGACTTGCAGCTGTAGACCTCCACCTATTCAGCCAAACACCTTCATGTAATGACTGGCTAGTAAAACCAAAAACTAGCATCTCGGGCTTTTCTCAGCCTTCCTGAATGATACGAATTTTCCAACCTATCTTAAGTGATACTACAGAGAAGAAAATAATCTCTTTACCAAGGATATTGTTCTCTATTTTGTGGCTCCTAATGTATTCCAGGGACAAACTCATTGAAGGAAAAGATTTTCCTGGCGCAACAAAAATTTTCTCAAATCAGCTGCAGCTGCCAGATAGTTTCAGCTTTGAATTGTTTGCATTTATTGGGCCTGGAGTTGGTTCAATGAGGCATTTCATGTCTGCCTTGTGTCAACAGTTTGTGAGCCTTGAAGCAACTCCAATGAACCCTCCCTCCCCCATGCAAATTAAAGGCAAGGCAGCAGCAGCTGTAACCAGAGGGCTAGAAGCTGGAAAATGTCACACCACAGTTGAAGTGAAACTGATACAAATCCATGATGTGATGATCTCTTTAAAAAAAAAAATTCCAAACAAACACAAACTACATTTAATACTCAACCTTTTCCACATGACTAATGTGGAGAGGGTTTATATATGGAAGGTATTTTGAAGGTTAACAAATGTTTGTGTAGCTAATAGTTCTTGATGTTAAGTATTAACAAACAGTTGTTCAGTAACAAATTATTATCAAACAGTTGCTCACGCTAAAACATAAACATAGCTTTTAGGAGACACCTAACTGGAAAGCTGGATCGGGAAGCAAATTGGCTCAGCTAAAAAGTCTGTCACAGAAGAGGGTGAGGATTAAAAAAGGAAAATGGACTTCTGAGTAAGATAACATGAGGTTGCCTGTAACGATAGGAAGCTTTCTGCACTTGTTGCAGTATGACGAGAAGGAGGTCGCCAACATACATAATCTATTGATCCATTGAGGTTTCGCAGTTCTCTAACACTTTCCTTTCAGTCATCCAATTCCTGAAGCTATATGTAACCTAAAGCATCTGTTTTTCTGTATTGGCGAAACCGATTGTGTTCCATTTACCTGATCTTAGCCTGCAGCTCCCAGGAATTCCCAGAACATTCTCTAGTTACTTGAAAACCTCAAACTGACTCCATAATTTATGGTGCAGGACAAGAGAGTTGCAAGAAAAAGTGAGATTTTTTTCTCCACATCATGCAAATAAATCCGTAACTAATGTGTGGCAGACAAATTTGTATAACAAAAGTGTGTGGGCAGATAGATGAGTTTTGCTTGAGGGCAGTGTTCAGCCAAAGCTTTAGCTGGTAGCCCTTCTGGGTATTTACTAAATGTTAAGGGCTATATGGCTTGGGATTTTTTTGTTGTTCTTGGGGTTTTTTACTGCCTTTTACTGTGAAGACTTTCTATGCTGTGGAGTCTGAAGGTACAACTTCACCCTGTCTGAAGTGTGTGTGTGTGGAGAAAAAACCCCACGATTTAATAGTGAAACCGTAAGATCTTAGACTGATGAAGCATCATCTTAATGCAGTGTTTCTCCAGTTTTGCAGGTCTGCTTCCCTTTTGAGTCCCTCTGTTTTTGATTACCACTTCCCTCTTCTCAGGGTGAGAAGTTCTTCCACATTAGGAGGAAGGAAAAGTGGCTGTAATTGCTACAAGTGTTTACATTCTCCAGGGAACAGGTAACTACCTTTAATTGCTGGCAGCAGCTAGGCAATTAGCTGTTCTCTGAGTAGTATAAACACTTTATGACCTTCTTTGAACCCTTCTTTGAGAATCCCCTTGAGATAGAAGCATCACAATTTGAGGAAACACAGATCAGAAAACAAGAAGAATTGTGGAAAAGCATCTGCACAAGAAAGGCGGTTATAAACTTCAATCTGACATTGTGATGGGAATCTTTTATTGGTTTCTGGAGTTCTCAAAGTTGTTTTAGGCCTTGTAAGAAGCTACACAGATTGCACTATAAAAATACTGTTATACTAGACTGAGTCATAAAAAGCACAGTCAATAATTATGCACCAAGACAAGGAGCTGTCATATGATTTTCATTCTCTATTTAACTTGTTAATTCTGTTTAGCTCATAGTCTTTCCATTCTTCATCCAATGACACTCCAAAGGAGCGTGTGTTTGTGTAGCATAGAGACCTTCCTTGCTATGAATTAAGCCAAATTTTGAGATTCTTGATGTAGCAAATTCATTGCTGCATATGTTGTTTATTCTTTTTTGTAATGATATTGCAGTCATGATCCTTCAACTGTAAAAGATATTCTCTGCTGTGCAGAACTTTGGTGATTGTTGCCCTCTGAGGAGTTAGTCATGCAAGGTATGCCTGGTTATTCCTCATTCTCAATTACCAGACTGACTCAACCTTCAGTCTCTTGTTCTGGAAATGCAGGTTTTTGCACACCTAGGGTTTCTGGTTAGGGCTTGCCATCCAGTTCCTGTAAAGCTGCAAAGATGGAAGACTAGCATCTTTTTGCAGGTGATCGTCTGTTACGTGTAGCATAGGAAAAAATGAGTAACACTAACTGTATAATCAGTTGGATTTAACAAGTCTGGATTGGCTGGGACTCACCTCAGTGACCTCTAGAAGTTAAGACCTAGCCTGTTTACTCATCTGCAGTGTACCTGAGATGAAGCCTATCCTTCATACTTTTTTTTTTAATGGGGAATTTCCTCTCCCAACATGAAAAAGGTTTTGGCCTTTGGCTTTTCACAAGAAACAGTTAAGCAGTTAATGATGAATGAAATCTAATACAGAATTCTTGGGCCCCAAACTGTGTTTTTCTAATTGATATTTTCTGTGTAATTACACTTAGTCCACATCAGAAAAGTCCACTGCAGTTTTACAATATTTTAGCATGCTTTTTCTCAACACTTTTGTACTCTTAGCAATTTGGCAAGTTTAAAAATAGCAAACTCATAGAATATTGTGTCATGAATGACTCAAACTCAGTAAAGGTTTCCTTACTGAAGGTATAAATAGCCAAAGATGTAACAGCCACGAACACTGCTTGGAATTGAGATATGCAATATAAAGGAAGGCTCTCCCAGCCTGAGAATTATCCTTTTAACTGCTGATTTGGCACATGTACAGCAGCTATGTGATTTTTATATAAGAGTATTTAAAAGTAGAGTATAAGAGATTCCTTAAAAATATCTACAACCAGTAGTCTGCTATAGTAATAGCTAGCATGTCTTACAGTTGCATCATCTTCTAACATTTACTGTGAATAAGCAAGGATAAAATGTTCTGCTCTAAGAAGAAAAAAGCTATTTTGGAATTTGTAACAAATACTTACATGAACTAAAGAAGTTCTTAATATGAATTCTCATCTCTAATGATCTGAGCAACTGGACAAAACTTTCCATCTTATAACTGAAATAACTGTAAGTAGAAAGAGAGGGTAAGTCAATGTGTTTGCTGCTGTTGTGCACTTTCCTGAGGTGGCGAAATGATGATGTGAAGCCAATACTGTAACACGACTCTTTACACGTTCTTCATTCTGATGACGGCTTGTTCTGGCTTACCAGCAACTTCATTTCTTGCTTATCTATGCTGGAATTTACACTTTCGGCCTCTTTTTCTTGCTCAGGTACACAAGTGCAGCCCACTGGGATAGTGACGTAATCTTCTGTGTAGACGTAACGGCCCCCAGCACACGCCGACGTGCGACGGAGGATGACTGTTGGCATGTACACAGGGGTGCTGCGGAAGTGAAAATTTTCCTCGCCAAAGATCCCCATGAGGCAGCCTTTGCACAGACAGTATGCTTCAGGAATGTATTTAGGATATCTTGTGGGATCATACGAAATTCTATAGGGGAAGCAATTAATAAAGATTCATTAGTATCTCTAAAAATAGATGTATTCATCTGGAAAACATTATTATAATGTGATTTGCCTGTAAACATTTATATAATGTTTTTGTTTTCTTTGCCAGGAAAAATAGGTGTAGCTGTTGCTGTCTGGCTTCTTATTTGTAAAGTGTGAAGGAAAAACATGAACAATTTATACAACTGATCAGGTCCTACAGTGCACACTGAAGTATGAAGTGACTGGCTTTCTAAAATGTGAGATTCAGGGGTTTAAGCAGAATAAGTTTTGCATTTTGGACTGGATGGGAAATAAAGCATTAAAAGGGACACCTGGACATTTCCAAACTTTCGATCTGCCTTGAGTTCTTCAAAAATTGGTACAAATCCTTGTTAACATTATTATTGTTGAAGCTATGCCATGATGTTTTAAAATTTTATAATTTAAATAAAATTAAATTGTACTGTTATGTCTGCAATAGTTTTTGCTCACTAGTATGCTTGGGGTTATAAAGGTGCCTTCCTCTTGACAGCAGAAGTCTGGATTTATTTCTCTAATTCACCTCCACTGGCCCTTCCTCTAACCAGAGAAGAGTAACATTTGCATGCCCCACACTGAGATAAACTGCAAAGTTAATGTTTTTTCTGCCCTCTCCGGCTACATTTTGAAGTAAAGCATTGCCCCAAAGCTTCAAGAATATAGCCTCTATTTTTTCTTATCTTACAGTTTGTTATCTGACCCTTTGTTTTTGCTTATTAATGCCCTGTCTCTGGAAATTCCTGATTAGCAAGAGCTGGAAAGGTTGTAACCTAAGTACAGCTTGGACCAACAAAGTCCAAGTTCCAACATTCCTCTCTGGATGTTGTTGGACGTAGAAACAAAGATGTGATACTATGATCTCAAGTCATACAGATCCTGGCTGACCATTGTTTTTAGCAAAGAGGGTGAAAGCTGATGAAGTCTGCTTGTTTTTTGAAATAAAAGACTAAGTATACAGCAGAGTACATATACTGGAGTGTGTAGCTACGCTGCTTATTGTGATGGTGATGTATTTGTTGCTTTGTTCTTTACCTGCTTTTTTTTCTTTACCTGGAAATAATTGCTGGGCATGGCTGTAACTTGTACATTAATACAACTGTGTGTCATTATTCTAGAACAATGTTTCCACCTCCAGAAAAAGAGGATTTTTTAATACGTTTAGCTCCTATGCCAGCTGTCCTCTTTGTACCTGTAAGCTTCCTCCAGATCACCTTCTGCTCTCACACTGTTACAAAACTAGCCATGCTTCAGCACTGGTCGCGCTGTCCAGCTGGAGAGGGATGATGGCTTTCTGGCTGGAGAAGCGTTCAGCCCAGAAGCACCGCCAGCCGCCTCTCGGTGCTCCTCCCGCAGAGCCCGTCCCCTCTTTGGGAGGATGCTGACCCCGAGTGTGTTATCAGCAGCACTTACCCACCTGTCAGCTAACAGAAAACCCTTTTCTGCCCTTTCCCCCTGCTCCTACTTTCACACAGTAGTCGATTAGGCCTACGCATGGTGCACAGCAGAAGTATCCTACAAGCTGTTACTGGCACACAGAGAGCGTGAAGAGATGTTGGGAGGTCACCTAGTCCAAATGCCTCTGTCAGGCAAACTCGGATGTGTTTGCCCAGCCTGTTCTTAAAAACCCTGAGAGGCGTTCCCCAGCCTGCCCAGATGCTCTGTTTGCAGCATTTCACCACCTCTTTACTTGGTAAGTTTTCTTAACAGTGAAGCGGAGCATTTTTTTCTTGCAAACTAAATCAATCATTTCCCATGTTTGGCCAGGAAATTACAGCAGCTGAGGCTAAAAAACTGAGTAGCAGTCAAAGATTTTATATGAGAGAGAATGTTCAAGCCTGTAATGTTTACTGCGATGTGAAGTGCTGCAAAATCAGTAAAACTTCTTGCACTGGGTTTTAAGCCATCCTCTATTTGGGATCAGGACAGGATCACCACAGACTAGATGAAGTGGGCCAATTACATAAGAAAAATGAATACATGAAATACCTGTCGTCAATAGAATTATTTATGGGATGATAGAAACTACTGAGCATACAATGCCCCCCTTCCCACAGCAGTTTCAAAATAACCGAGTTTGAAAACCTCAATAGATTTAAAATGATTCCTAAATTGTTTCCCAGGGTTTGTACCACTTCCTTGGGTATCAAAGCATTAGCCTTTTATCCTTTCAGGTGGTCTCTGAGATGAGAAGAAGTTTCAGCTGTGGAAGGGGCAGCGTAAGTCTGCGATCGCACAGTCACTTCTAGTCAACAAAATCTGCACATGCCAAAACAGGCAGCCTGGCTCTCCCTCTGGCCTCCACCCTGGGTTGATGCTGATGTTCTTCTGGTCACAGGACTGATCTGGGAATTCATCCAACTGAAAAGTAACTTGATCAAAAGCTGGATTTTGGTCCTTCAGCTGTCTTGCCACATATACACCGAGCTCTACACAAACAAGCCAGCATGAGCAGGCAGCTGTAGATAGGGGCAGAAGGGATCTGCTCTCTTCAGAAGTATCACCAGTTTATCAGGTTAAAACAAATCTGGAATCACAGCTTTAGGCAAACACAAACCTGATTATCCTGTCATCAAAGAAAAGATACTTTTTTTTTTTGCAATGGCCATATAATCTGGATTCTTTGTCTTTTTAAGGAATTTGTTTTCCTCACAGAAAAATCTGACCAGTTTTTTCATAGCCAGACATCTGTAATGTCACAGATATTTTTTGCAAAGCTTCTCTGTCCCATTTATACTTGCTTACTTTCCCCAGGAAATACCCTCATGTTACAGGATCTCTCACCAATGTGAAATAAAATGTGGTAGCCAGCAGAAGAGAAGAAAGTGGAATACAGGCTTTTCTCCCATGATACATTCCCATTTCAAACTCAAGTGTGAATTTCAGTGGTGGATTGTTAAACACACTGTATGTCAAGTCATTGGTATTTCCTCTACTGTATTATCTCTAGCACCTGGTTTATGATGTTACTGGAAAGCATGAACATGCTTCTGGATGCAAACATAAGAGTTTTCACTAATAACAAGAGAACACTGTCACTGGAATCGTGGTCTACAACAAGCTTCCCCTCCAAATTCCCATGTGGCAAAAGTCAGTTATAAATGAGGGGTTTTTTGGAAGGATGGTGTGGTTTTCTACTTTCTATAGAAAAATCTCTTGTATTGCTAAGTTTGCTGTAGATACCTCTACTCCATCATGTAAGGATTGAAAGGAATCAGAGAAGATCCAAACCCAAGGATGGATCCAAAATATAGATGTGGATTTGCATCCAGACCAGAACTCTAAGCCCAAAGACTCTCAGTAATGTCTCCTGAAATTAAACACTGAACTCAAATCCACTAAACTTTGGAGCCATATCCAAGATTCTGCATCTTCAGCTCAAACCTGTAACTAAAACCTCATTTTCATCTTTCTAGGCAACCCAGCCTGATTTGGGTCTGGACTCCTAACAAACACCACTAACCCAGCAGTATAAATGCAGTTGTGTGACCTGCTTCCTCTGTTTTCATGTATTGAACATAATCATTCTGCCCACATAATGACCACAGCCTCAGCTGCTGTAGTTTGATGCATCTCCATTACCCCAAGCACTACAAGTCATGTTTTTATGAACAGGGCAAACGTGTTTGATCAGGTTAATTAACTTGATAAAACACATATTCCAAGTTCCCACTGACTCTTTCCTGTAAGTAGTGAAAGATGCACCTAACTGGGGTGGACACAACAGGAGCAGCTGGGAAGAGTGGTGGAGTGTCCCCTGCATCCTTGTGTCATTTGCTGTGGCCACTGCTGCAAACTAGACAGCCCAATCATTTCAATGACAGTTGCCCTTCTCCTGTGAACTCAGGTTACTGGTAAGGCTAACTCTGCCTAGCCAGTGCTCCTGATTTACAAATGACAGGGGCAGTGAGCTATGCTGGGCTGCTATGTTTCGATCTGCTGGAACAAGAAGCAGGTTTGTACTGAACTGGAACTGCTAATGAAGTGTGACGAGTTCTAGGCTGCTTTTCCTTACGACCCTACGAGTGCTTTGAGAGCTCCCAGTGAAAAGCAAACTTCCTGCCGTTTATGTACTAAGCCTGGAAACTCAAGAGAAAAGTTTCTGTCAGAAGTAAAACTCTTGCAAAGCTTCATCTGTCTTGTCCTGTACTGCTACTTTCATATGTAGTATTTTTAATAATATTATCACTTCATAGTTTCCAAGCTGCTTCTAAATCCAGTGGGTCAGATGCTGTGCTGGGGCAGGCAGATAGAGCTGACTCTTCAGAAAATCACTGTTAGCACTAGGCTAACAGCTGGATGTTATCACAAGTCTAATAAGGAGATCATCATCCCTTTACTTTGTGCTCTGAAATACTTACAGGATTAACAGCTAACAACTTTTTTTCCCCTCTTGGCAAGACATTTATTTCTCTATAGCAGGTGTTCTTTTGTCCACATTATGCTTAGTTTGTTTTATATACAAAGTACAGCGTTTGCATAAAATAGCCTAGTGCTAACAGTGATTTTCTGAAGAGTTGTACGAACATGTACTCAAATAAAAAGGATGGGAGTTTCGTGTCCCCTTGTGTTCTTTCCCTTGGCTGCATCTTTGGTATATGCACACTGTGCCACATGATGATGTTAAATCCTGGAAAATGTCTTGGATAAGGTTCTTGAAAATCATTGGAGTATTATTTAAAGGAAAGCCCTCTTGTATGACTTTTTTCAAAAGCACTGCAGACAAGCTTGGCTTTTACCAGTAAAAAAAGATGTGCCTGTACTACTTTTATTAAGATTTTATATAGATGAGCACTAAACCAAGGATGCTTATAAACTGAAACTGTTTTTTGAAAAGCAGAACAAACAAGCTGGGCAATGTTTGAAAGAGGGACTAGGTAACATGGGATTTCATGATCAGACCAATACTGACAATAAAAGTTAAATCTCTGTAAACGAACCCTTAGTAAATGCAGGATTAGGCCCCAGAGACAGACACGGAAGCTGTGAGATTTGGAAATTCAGAAACGTAAATGACTTCTTGAATACGCATGAAGCATTTTTGCTAAATTCATGCAGAAGTGTGTTTGCAGAGGACTCTGTATGTATTCCTACAAACTAGCTACGAATGCTATTATAACTTTAAGACAACAGAGAATAAAAATAGAGCCAGTGTATACAGCTGATTAACGAATGGCACCTGTGCTCTGCAGCACCATGCATGGAATCACAAATCAACACTACCTGTAAATCCGCTGTTGACTTCAGTGGGATCAGATTTTTCAACCGTTACTCTGAGCTTTATGATCAGACCCCGCAAATGTTTAGGCACACATTTAAAATTAATCCTTTTTATAATGGCTCTTGTCCATGCGCAACTTGTATGAATATTCCCTATGCTTATGGCTTCTCCAAATTTTAACAAGCAACACGCATCCTGTGCTGTTGGCAGGGATCCGTAGGTGGTAAGACAACCGGTATCAGTAACACTTGTGAAACGACTGTGAACCATAGCAATAGCCAAGGACCCTTGCCAGTACCTCCTTGTACAAGCAGGCTTTCTGGATTTCATTGACTGACCATATAATACTACTAAAAAGGACAAGCAACTCCTGGATAGACATCACAAAATGGCACACAGTCAGCCTGATGATTTTCATGGCATGATGATTTCACAGCAGACCTTCTGCCACTGGCTCTATTTTTTAAAAACCTGGGTAATTCTTAGACCAACTTCCTGAAGTGCTGAGCAAATCCAGTACGCTCAAGATTTCACTCCACTCAACTGACATCAGGGAACTCTGCTGTGTCTTTATAGCTCTGCAGGGTGAAGAGCGATTTGGATGATTAAACTTTGTGCTCCGACTTATATACTGATCTCCTGTGGCCATCAGGATGGAATTTCAGGATTAGGCAGATGAACTAATATTCTTCCTCTAACTTTTGCCTCAGTACCAACTGTTGGTTGCTGCCAGCAGCAGGATCGTAGACCAGATGGATCTGTGGTGCAATCCATGTGCAACTCCTCTATCTCTGGGTTGTAGCAAGCCAAAAATGATGTAAGTCTTGATTTTTGTACAACCAAATTAAAGACC